TTTTTTTTCATTCAGTGCGCGCTAACAGACGTGTTAGCATTTACGCATGTTTACCTGCAGTCTTCTTCACTGCCTTTGTTGGTGCATTGCCCCCTTTCTTTGTTAGCTACCACCACCTGCAGATCAGTGAAGCCGAGTGTTTGGAGGTGGATTATTATTATTGAGGCATTAACATGTACGCAGCATTTTCATGTCGTAGCTGAAAGGGCTTGGTTTATAATCGGCTAATGTTTTATTCATTATGTGATGAAAAACCAAAAAAAAATGAATGAGTGAGACTGACACTGCTGCTCCCCCGCAGGAGATGCCCACTTCTTCAAGGACAACCTCTACTGGGTTTTAAAGAACGGAGGACTGAACCAAGATGTCGTCACTCCTAAATCCATCGCTGTAGACTGGCTCAGATGTCCAGCTCCACCTTCAACCACCACCACAGCCAATCCTCGTTTCCCAAAGCAGTGCCACTGTGATTTAAGTGGATCTTCGTCTCCAAGAAGCAGCCGGATCCTCCTGATCTCCGTTTTATTGGTAATTAATGAGTTTATTAGAAAATAGAAACCTGAGTGTGGAATTTGTTTGATGCGTTTGTTGAGAGAGGCTACTGTACCACTCCTCATTACACTGGAGGGTAACAGGATCTTTACATTATCATATACTCACAGCACATAAAAACCCACAAGATGGTTTCAAATTACATTCTAGCATCATAAAAGGCCTATGTTAAAAACCTGCCTTATACTTTAACACCAGGCCTATGTCAACATAAACACTTGCCTTATTAAAACATATTGCTGATCTGTAAAAAAAAAAAAAAAATAGTCAATTTAGGTACTCCCTCCATCCTGCTATAGAATATCACCTCCTTTTTCTATACTAGAGTATTGGATTACATGGCGCCTGTATAGGAGAACGCATGGAAATTCAACACTGCAATCCAGCATGCAGGCTACACCTTCATAATGAGGTCTTACACAACAACCTTATGTTTGGACAGTTAACAGGCGACACACTTAAGTGCAATAGTCAGGTTCTTTATAGGCACTCCTCTTTCAAATAATTCAGAGTACATTTGTGGGTGTGCCTACATATATACAGTGAAATGCTTTGGTAAATTAAACTTGTAGAAAGTGTATTGTGAAAAGGTGAGCTTGACCTGTGGTTTGTCTTTGTCCCATTTCATATATTTTGATTGATACTGGATTTTACAGATGTTATTGTTATGTTGACTACTAAATTTGCTTAGGGCTGTGTTTTTACAATACAGGATAATAATGCTGATCTGTGACTGTGGTGCTAAGACCTGGAGATTACAGTTACCATTTTTAAGTGGTTGTTAGAAAATATCATTAAAATGTCATAATTCTTAATATAAGTTTGCTTTTTTTGTGTTGTATCTGTTCCCCTGACTACACTTCATAAATTTATTACAAAAAAAATTAGAATAATATCTCTTGATCTCACCACCCTCAGCCTGTAGCTGCATTTTTGCTATGTTCTTATCTCATGGTGCACATTCATGACTCACATATGATACATCTTTACAATCTTTACATGCTGGTCATTCTCCAGTGACAGTCCCGTATTTGTCAACTTTTGAGCACTGATTTCTATCTTTTATAGGATACCTCGCCTTCTGGGCCATGACATACATACCGTTACTGCTGGTCATTACTATAGAGGAGGAAGAGCACAATGAAGAATGTCTCATTGTCGTTTAGCCTGAGGAACTAGTATCTATTGTTCCTCGGGCTAGTTTCACATTTTTGTTCTGACCTACCTCAGATGGCTCGATATGAGAATGATCAGCTTGGGTTTTACAGTGAACAACTCTGGTAACTCTGAATCTGAAAGTAAAGTCACGTGGAAAAGGCCTTTTTTTTTATTTGATTGTTTGTTGTCGTAGTTGAAGTTACTTTGATTCTAACCTTACACTGACATGAAAAATTGTGCAAGCTTACTTCAAAGGCCTTCATCCTTTCTTTTTAACTTTTATTTTTTAGTATTATATTTAGTACTAGTATTTCATTAATAATCTGTCCAGGAACCATTGAATCTTTTGTTCAAAGCGTATTCAAGCTATTCCAGGAAGGTGTTTGCACAGAATTATTTATTGTCCTTAAGTGGGAAAATGTTTAGGTAAGCTGTAAATGGTACAGGTCATTTGATAAGGTTAAAAGCATAATTTGGAACAACTGTATCCCATCCAGTTACTATGACTTAAAGGGTGATCTTTTAAATGAAAACACACCCACTTTGACAAATATAACAGGCTTTTATGTAAACTGATACTCTGTGAACTATAATGGAAGCCTTCAAAAGCCATGACTCTATTGTCTGGTTCAAGCTCAGCCCAAGTTCAACAATAGGGATTAAATTTCACACCATGACAATGCCATTAAAGAAACAAAACTAAATAAACAAAAAACAGAAAGTAAAACTAAGAATGCTGAAAAGTGACTGACATCAGATCATTTTTAATTTAGAAATATTTAATAAGAGGTCAGTTATGTTACATGTGCAAGTAGTTCAACACAGGTTTAAAAGGTGGTGTATACAATAGTGATAAATAATGGTGTTCATTGTACTGTAACCTCAGTCCTTCATTACACCAACTGAAAGAGGCAGCATGGGTTTCATTTGAAGTGTTCATCTTGGCAATTTGGCTACATTTCATCTGCCGACGGCAAAAATCAAAAACACAAAAATGAACAAAGATAAAACTACCATGTTCTGCAACAACTATTGGTAGAGACTGATTTTAAACTCTCAATCTATAAGGCAGATTTAAAATGCAACTACATAACGTCACACTCCGATTTCATTAATTAATTTGATCACTTCTAAACAACCATTACAACAGCTACTCAGTAAACTTAGTGCAAGTACATCCCTTTCTCGGGCACCTGAATATAGCTCTGGCAGCAGACATGAGTTGTGCCGCAATAGATCGTGTTACACAACAAAAGTCTAAATTCTCGTGCAGACCATGTTTAACAGAAGTTTTGTTTGCATGATGTGCAGCACATACAGATTCAAAATTTGAGGATGTACACTTCTTTACCGAACATCATTACTATGAAAACTACAGTATGTGATGGAGAACCACATTAGAGCAGATGCAGCCATCCTTACATTTAATGTTCTTTGAACTATTTCATGATACCATTGTTAATATATTGCACTACAGTCAAGTGGTTGCAGTGTTAAGGCTCAGTTTTGCTTGATGTGAAAAGACTGATCATATTACATTGACAGCACTTAGAATAAGTAGTTCAGTGCATACTTTTATGTATTAACAATTCAGACAAGGCTTAAGTCAGACAAAATCATATGAGGAAGGGGAACAGGATCTCCAACAACACAATAACTTGTTGAGACATCACAAAAACTTCATCTCTTTTTTGGCACTAATTTCTCCCCAGAACATAGCTCATGGCCATCAGCCCCAGAGAGTAGCAGGTTCTGGAGGCAGAGCTGGTGGCGCGCTCAGCCTGTGTTGTGACTGGCTGCGCTGGCTGGATGTTTCTGTAGACATTGACCATAAGAGGCGATGAGCTGTTACTGACGTGTACAGTTGTGCTGAAGAGGTCAATCTGGGGACAAGATATTGAGACAGCTGTGTGAAGCACTGGTAGAGCATTTGTGATGGCCATTGTACTTAAAAATGGCACATGAGAAAAAAAACAAAAAAAAAGAAAAGTAAAAAACTCACCAAATCTTTGCTGACTTTGATTGACTCCTTGAAGACAGTCCAAACCACAGCCTCATTACAAGTGGGTGTGGTCAAGGAGCCACGGTAACGGTAATAACTGGTGCGATCCACCCCAGCCAGGAGATCATCCAGTGAAATCCCAGGTGCCATCGAAACAGACTCGCCTGAGGACAGACACACGATCTCTGAAGGGGCTGCAGCTGACACATCAATTCACTACAGACCACTGGATCAGGTTTTCCACAAGAAAAGAATAAAACATCTCCTTACCGCCATTTGTGATGTTGGACAGATAGGAGGTCAAAGTTTTCCAGCTTGCGGGTTGGCCAGTTTCATTTCCTGACATTACCTGAAAAAGTGCACAGTTTAATTATTATTATTATCATTATTATTATTATCATCATCATTTTGTTTTTTTAAGCTGAGTGGAGGGATGGCATAAATAAATGAAGAGTGGAGTGAAAAAATAAAAAACAAAAAACAATGAATTCATCCTTACTCACCTCAATGAAGAAACCAAGAGCAGCAAGTCCGTCTGAGTCAGCAATAGCCTGAGTTGTGTTTCCATTATAGGATGACTTGCTGTTTACAATGTGCAACTGCAGGAGTGAAGTAAAGAAAAAAAAAAAAAAGAAAAAATGATTGTAATATGAATGTATTTCTGCATCTAATTTATAGCTTAGCATGAAGAAAACTGCATATAGTTTACAGGCCTACCTCCATGGGGTAGCGCTTGCCATCCACAGTGTGCTCAGAGCCGGGGACAGAGGCGCCATTACCCCAGTGCAAGTGGAACTGCAGGCTGTCATAGGCCTCAGGCAGATCTCCTCCTGAAACTGTAATACCACTTGCAAGGACGACTTTGACTGGGGGGGGGGGGCAAAAACAGGATGGACAAGAAAGATCAAAACTGTTGAAAAACAGGAAAAATTTGTTCAACTGGCCAAGTGTTGTGACCAGTGTTGTTTAGAAACTGAAGAAGCACAGATTTCGAAAAACACACACCTCTCACGAAACCAAACACAACCACAGAATCTGGCACCATATTAGAGGGTTTATGTCCCCGCCCACCGCTCACCTGTCTTGCCGGTGTTCTCCATCTTTTTGAGCGCGGAGGTGCTGCTGTAGTTGACGAAGGTGAATGCAGTCAGGTTGGAGTTAGCTGTGGCAGATGCTGAGACGATGTCAATGGGCGACTGTCGGGTACCATTGCAATATTTAGGAGCGATGACCGGCCAGGTGGTGTCATCTATAAATAGAAACAAGACGATGAGAAACTGAAGAGGAGCAAGCAGATAAGATGTTAAGATGATGCTGTGGCCATTTAGAGATAAAAGGTCATTACTCACTGCAGGTTGGCAGATGATAACACCAGGCTGGAGGGAAAAGAACATATAGTTATCACTTATTCATGACAGACAGTCTCAGACATAGAGACGCGGTGTTCAACCAAGAAGCCATTAAAAATCCAAGATGGAAAAAAAAGAACAGTTCAAATACCCACCAATTGCGTCTGAGGCACAACGCACACTTGGTACGAGGGCGCACACAGCAAGCACAGCTACTACAAGGCACTTCATCTAAAAATAGAATTCAAAAAGTCAATCACCATTTTTTTTCTTTTATTAAAACAAACGACCATCCACATTAAATCCTCGGTAAGAAAATAAATCATTGAAATATATCTGAATAAATTAACTGTCTAGCGGAAATCAAACAAAAACAAAAAAAAAAAGCTACGAATTTGTCATTTACGCACAATTTTAAACATTAACTTAAAAAAACAACAATTAATAAATAAAATAATCACAAACCAATGCAAAATGATTAAATGCTATAGTCTAAAAAGAAAAAGACATTAGATAAGTCCGTTTCAGACGATCAGGGGAATAATCTGTTGCAGCTGAATCCAGTTAACCTGAGCACCAGAGTGTCTTACCTTCGACGCACTTGTACCTCCTCTTGGTCTTCTAACACCTGTGGAGCCTCACCCTCCCTCTTTTTATTCCCTCAGCCCACCCAGCAGCTCGTCTCAAAACACTCCTCCCTAACAAGAGTCTCTGATGAACATAGGAATTTCTTTCTTTGTTTGGTCATACGGAAGTTTTCAAAAAGATTTACACTCCCTTTTACCAGTGTAAATATTTCCATCATCTCAGAAAAATGCAAAAAGAAAAAAAAAGAACAACCCAGACACCAGTGCAGAAACTGGCAGATGAACCAGGCTCAAGCAGCAATAGGAGCCAAACCTCAATGAAAATGCAGGTGAAGTTCTCCACAGTCATACTCCCTGATCAATATCCAAATTAAACACACATATGCATTCTCTATTCACCATTTGTCATCATATCATAAGTAACAATAACAATAATTTTCTTACACAGCTATGGTTTAGGTTTGGTTCGGTTTAGGTACAAAAACAACTGAGGTTTAGAGATAGATCATGATTTGGTTTAAAATAATGAGTTGGTTAAGGTGAAACATCATTTGAGTTAAAACTATAACATAAGGTTAGGGAATGACACTGGATATAGGTGGGGAACGGGAAACTAACAGTGATCTCTTTCTCAGACTTTCTCACAATATAATGATGTCACACTATTTAGTTCCTGAGAAGTTCCTCGAGTTATTAATATCTCATTTGTTTGATTCAGATGTTTTCAGTCAAACGAGGAAGCGCTGATTATGGAAAATAGTTTTGCAAATTCAACTGTGCACTTTAACTACATGTATGCTCAGCTATACAGTGAAGGAGGTCCATCACCTGCCCATACTGTGACAGGGGTACAGATGCCTTATCCTGTGGAAAACTATGTTTGGGTGACATGAGAATTCTTTAAACTAAAAAGACAGAGATTGACATCACCAAGCAAAGGTGCAAAGAATGCAACGTTGTAAAATCACAAGATGTCAGAATTGGGGCTCGGCTGGACATATCGAATGTAAGCATGTGAAAAAGAAAAACTTTGATGCCATCAGGATTCTTTTTCTTTTTCAAAACCAGTTTCACTGGTAAATTTGAATGACTAAGTGACTTTCCTTAAAATGTTCAGTGACTGTACAGTTCAGTTATACCAGCCTCACCCATTGGTGTTTTTGTGAAGTCTCACAGTGACAACTCCGTTAAAAGTTAAAAAAAAAAGAAAAAGAAAAGTATTATCAGTGTATTTCCTAGAAAATTACCAGTCCAGTACTCATATGTTACTGGAAGTTTGGCTGCTTGTAGTAGGTCTATTTACAAACACACATGACCTTCAGTTTAAAGCTCAGCTATTCTTCTGATGATTTGAGAAAAAATAAAGAGATGAAAGTGTCACAATAAAGCATCAGGGTTACAAAATGTCAAATTGCCAGTACAGCTTTAATTATAGTTTCATTCAAGGAGACAGCATCAGTAAATACAGGCGATGAAAGATTAGCACAAACAACAACGTGAAAATAAGCTGCTGTCCGTGAATTTCTTATTACTTTTGATATGTAATAATGATTATTACATTATCATATTATGGATTATTATTATGATGTTAAATAACATTATTATTTGCGATACACTACATGTAAGTTACAATATTTAGAGGGGTGTGATTCTCTTTTCTCTTCTAACAGGCTCATGGTGCCACAATGACGCTATCAGTCATCAGACTCTGTGTAACTGCCAATAATTAAATAATCAATTATTATTACATAACTGGGATGCAAACATGCAATCATTACCCAATTTACAACACCCAAAGACTTTTCTGTCTTGCTGGGTGTGAAGAGAAAAAAAACTTGTTTCTGGTGTATCCCATTTCTGAAAGTCACTCTTACATAAAATACTATAATTACATGTGCATGTGTTAACTACATATGTCAAGTATGATAATGCATCTCTTCCCTGTTAGTCCGGTGTCCTTATTGAGTTTTGAACCTGATCAAACAATGATAAAAACAGTTTTCAGTGAAATATGTGGTATCGAAGTTATAGCAAGAGATGTTATAGGCTAATTTGCCAAACAAGACCTCTATGTTTTAATGTTTAAGTGATTCAAGGCTTTTTTCTTTCCACCCCCGATTTTCCCGCATTCTCATGTAAGTAGTACAAAAAATGTTAGAGAGGTATTTTAAGGACGCTTTCTGAAGCATGTGGAACTGCAGCCTGACTGATTTCTATGAATTTATATTCTGTCCTGTGTAGACGTCAGTGTGTTTGCTCATGGTTTGCTCATGATTTAGGGGATTTGTTAATAGGAGCCTTTTCAGTCGCAGTGATGGGAGTGTTTTTATGACCTCTTATAAAGTTTTGATTTCATATATACAGTATATTTTTTTAATACACATCTGACTGTTGCGGCAGCATTACACGTCTCCGAGTTTCAGATTAAACTTTATACCACTGTTTATATATATCTACACATAGCCTTTGTCATGTAGCCATTTCCTTTTGGACAGATTGAGTATTATTCATCCATTTCAATAGATTAAATGTCACGAGGCCTCATGTCCCTAAAAGAACAGCTCACATTGTTAGATCAAGCTGATGCACATGACATGTTACCTGCTCCAGGAAGTATTTTGAACTCTTGTTTATATAACTGTGCACAGGGGTATCAGTAAAATCAAACCCAATGCAACTAGCGTAAAACAACTTCAGAGTACGTGAAGTGTATATGTGTTTAAAAATTTTGAATATATAGTTTCTTTTTGGACAAAAATCTATATTTGTAATAGTTTTTGTTTGCTTTTTAAAAACAAAGCAGCACTACACTTGTGTAGCCGTTTAATTTACATTTGCGACATCGGTCATAGGTTTTTATATAATGTGAATGACAGAACAAACACTGTTGAAAAAGATAACCGTCGGATCAGATTCCAGTTACATCATACACACGCATTAGTGACGTTGCATAGTGAACAGAAACAAGTGTTTTCCTTCAAGGAAACACAGGCTAAGATATCAAATGTGATTCAGTATTCCCCCAACTCCTAGATCACAAAAGATTTTTTTTTTTTTTTTTTTTTTTTTTTAAAAAAAGGAAAGTAAATATGCATAAATTAAAGACTGCTGTAATCTCTGATCCAGACAACCATACTGCTTTCATTTAGGTTTCCTCGTAGGTTTGTGGCTCTTCAGCCTCTTATAATACATAAATAATGAACAAATTTGTGCTTAAATTGATTGAGACCTACCGAAATCTAGTAGATATAAACGCGTTTAGCCCACAACTGGTTTGGGGAGGAAAAAAACAAAAACAAAAACAAAAACACACCACACACACCCCAGTAAGTGACATGAATACATCAATTTAGATTTTACTCGTTGCAGTAATACATTTCCCAGTGATAAAACGCTCAACACTCACAGGAACACTCACTACAATAATACATTTTTTGCCAACAGTCCTGAATCACCTGAAATGTCATTGTATGTATTAAGCAAAATGAACAGAGGACAACTTTTGAAAGAGGCAAATGGGTATATGATTTAGATGTTTAGAAGTACCTGTTCCACTTCACTGGTAATTGTTCGTGTTTGGTAGTTGAAGTTGGGCAGAGAGCCTGATAACTCCCTGGAGTTTAATAAACCATGCTAAGGTTTTAAAAAAAGTAAAACTTCCCTCGTTAGCCAAAAGATACAATTTCTTTATTATAAGATTACATAATTGAATATTAAAAATGTCAAAAATCATCAGTGAAAACCCCACATTGTCTTTTGCTAACACATTTTGAAATAATCTGAGCAGTGCAAAACAGATGATTAACGCAATAAATGATTATTCTTCATTAGCAGATTCACAGTCGCAAATTAAGTGGAAAGGCACAGAGACATGCCAGCAACAGAAACAGTATGATGGGTCCAGGGGCGCTGGCTGCTGATGTGGTGCTGAAGATTGTCCTGTCATGAAGAGACTGCGTAGGCCGAAACACGTTGTGATATCCTGTCTGAATCGGGAACAGCATCATCTGTTGGGGTTAAAGCAAATGTTAGCTTACATTTCTTTCATTTTTGAATTGATGTATATCTGTTTGAAAGATAGGCATCTGCTTGATGGAAGATAACTTTGGCAAAATGTTCTAATTCATCATATGTTCAGTGCATTCGGGAAGTATGTTCCAGCCTCGTGCTTTTAAAGCTCTCCCCTCCTCCCCAAGAGCAGCGAAGTCTATATCAGGAAGTGTTCGGGGTGGATGGATGGGTGAACAAACCAGTCACACAGCAGATAACCACTACGTTTCCTGAAATGCGATAGTCAGAACATTTGCTTTAACCATGACCACTGCATAATATTTAGTCATTCATTTGAGGTTTGTAGCTTTACTGCTGTGCATTATCAGAATTCATTCAACAATACGAGGAAGTATGAATGTTCGCTTCAACCTGCAGTCTTTGGGTTGAGCTGTGTTGAAAAAGGCACTCAGTGTGATCTTTATCAGTGTAGAGCAGAAAGAGATAAACATGTGACTGAGTCAACAGCTGACAACTTCAATTTCAAATCATGGCAGGGGAAACTAAGCAGTGAAATTACCTGATTTCTAGGTGGGTACAAGGATCTCTGATAAGCTTTATAGTTTTAGCTTTGAATACCAGGCACAGTTTAATGTTTGACTCTGAATTCGACCTTGACTGAACTTGTTTCACTTGGCAGGAAACCCCAACACAAAATAACCAAACCCCACCCTTTTCCAGTTACTTCCCACACTCTGAATTGGGAGCCTGTGTATGAAAAACACTTGATATATTTATATTTATACACATTTGATGTGGATGTAAAGGCCCTAAAATGACGAAGCAATTTAGTCACAGCCATCGTCTCATTTCAAATCCTTCATACAGTCAGTGATGTGCAGCCATGTGCGTAAAATATCAAACAATCTTAGAGGCAGAGACAACAGTGCATGACACGATAATCAACAAGATCACTTTAGTCATTTGTTTGTCCTGTGATAGTGAACAAACAGTTCTGATAATTAAAGATAATGACCTCACCACACAAGACTGGATTTTCAGTCTCTTATTCTAACTATTGCCAACTGTAAATGTTGTTTGTCATCCTGTGCAGGTAATTATGCATTTAAAAAAAAAAAAAAAAAAAAAAAAAAAAAAAAAAAAAAAAAAAAAAAAAAAAAAAACACTACACATGAAATCATAAATCTCTTAATTTGATTTACTGGAGTTAAGAATTATCTCTGAATTGTTTTGCATAGAGCAGTGCTAATCAAGATCATTGTGGAACGCCACTCGTCTGATATCTCTTCAGTACCAAGATGATGAGTAGCACGTACCAGGTCTTGGTCCACCTTGACAGACTCTTTGAAGACCGTCCAAACCACTGCTTCGTTACATGAAGGGGTGGTTAAGGAGCCGTTGTAGCGGTAGTATGCAGCTCGGTTCACGTTGCCGAGCAGGTCATCGATGGAGATCTCCTCTGTGACGTTGACCTCTGAGCCTTTGTTGCAGCACAAAAAAAAGAAAATGTATCTCTACATTTAGGTCTGCACACATCTTGTTCTGTTATATAGTATGTTCTTTATTTTCCTTGTTCATTGTGTATTATGATTTAAAAAAAAAAAAAAAAAAAAAAAAAAAACAAACGTCTGCACAGGGTTTTTAAGGTTATATGCGTGACAGCAAATGTTCACTCACGGATGTTGTGAATAGCTGAGAGGTACTTGGTCAGTTTTTTCCAGGCTCCCATATCAGATGTTGAACTCGATGGGGGATGTGTCTACAGATGAACAGGGTGAACAATTAAGAACATTTGACTATAGTCCTCTCAGTTAACAACATATAGGCCCTGCTTTAAGAAAAAGATACACTCACCTCTTGATGCTCTGAACTGCTGCCACCGCTGCTTTTGGTAGTATCTGCAGCCTGGATAATAGACATTGAGAAAAGTCTTTCACACAATAGAAGTTTAGACTGGAGATAGATGGCAATATTTCATGTGCTGTCAGTCAGGCATCAACCACACTGTAAATTAGTCAGCTGACAGAAGTGCATAAGTAGGTGTTACAGTTAATGCCTAGATATTAACCTCAAGACTGCACAGGTGTTAACTTCAAACAGTGACGGGGTACATTAATATGCATACTGCCTGTTTTTGAGTACAATTTCTTTGTCACTTTTCTGGTATAGACACTTAAAATTTACTTAGAATTAGGACATGCACTACATAATCAAAAGTTTTAGAACACCCTCATTTTTGATTTTTACAGCAGTTCGAGCACAGTGAATATGCTTAAATGGTACAAAAAGGAAAGTGGTTAAATTTCCAAGGTGGGAAAAATCATGCCAGTTCAATAGAAAACAGGTCTTTTCGGGATTTTTAGAAATTGGTTGATTTACAGATTTCCTTGATCAAATGAAGCCGTGAAAGTTCATGCAAACAATTCCTACATTCCAAAACGAAAAGAACCAGTGGCTTCACATGATGGAAGACCAACAGTCTCCAGACCTAAACCCCACAGTGCTGGTTTGGACTGAACTAGACAGAGTGAGGTGTGTTGAGATGAACTTTGAACAATGTTTGATCTTCCATTGTAGAAAGAACGTAACAAGTGTTCGGCTGCTGGATGAGTCAAAATTTTAGCTTAAATTTAGTTCAACAAGAAGATTCCTTGAGTCCTTGTTTTTAAAAACTCAAATTGTTTAATTTGTTCTATGCTTTAATTTCAGAAACACAGACACTGGGGCGCCCAGCAGCTCACCTGGTGAGGCGTGTACCACATGGGCTCCTAACTGCAGCGGCCATGGGTTTGAATCCCCCCGGCAGCCCTTTGCTGCATGTCATCCCCTCTCCCTCCCCAACCTTCCTGTCTCTCTCTCACTGTATCACAATAAAGGTGAAAATGCCCCACCCTCCAAAAAAAAGGCAGACATTGAATTATGTAAACTTGACAGCTGGAAAAATGTAGGTGTATTACAGACTTGCATCACAGCTACTGACCTACTAACACACTGAACATTACCTCAATAAAGAATCCCAGTACTGCCAGGCCATTAGGAGTCTCTAATGCCTTCTCCAATTTTAAATCCTTCCTCTTGTTCACTATGTGCATCTGGACAAAGACACAGTTACTGACACACAGTATACACTGGTGAAAGCAAAATGTATTACAAAAGAAAATACCTTAGTACCATCGCCACAGTTCAGTGCTTTTTCAATTACCTCCATTGGGTATCTTTTTGAATCCACCATGTGCTCCGAGCCCTGAGATTCATGTGACACAGCGCCCCAATGGAAGTGGAACTGAAGGGTGGAGTAGACGTAACCCAAACCTCCCCCTGACACCTCCACCGTATCCTCCTTCAGCACACATTTCACTGGGAGTTGAGTGAGAACACAAGGACAAGTGTAAATGGTTTTCAGACTTAAATATATATATTTAAAAAAATAAAAAATTAATCTGGAGATTCATCTCTTTTCCATGCCTGCAACAAATAATCATCTCGTGTATCATAACACTGAAACTACAGTTAACTTTGATAATGTTTAAAATCAAGAATGAAAATAAAAATAAAGTTGGGTAAAGTTATCTTTGAGTTGTCTTAGATTTAAAAACATCCACAAAAACAGCCCATAAAATAAAAATAAAAAAATAAAAAAAAGTCAAACCTGAGTGGCCTGAGTTAGTGATGGACTTGATAGCATTTTTGTCATCAAACTTTGTATAGGTGAAGGCATCAAGGTGTTCATCTATCACAGCTGTCTTAGTCACAATGTTGATGGGTGACTGGCGTTCACCACCACAGTGGGAATGAGACAGAAGGTGCCAGAGAGATGAATTGTACGCTGAAGGTGCAGAGGAAAAACAAAGCTCAAGACAAACCTAAATCCTATTCCAACAGCACTGTGCAGTCAGAAGCTTTGCACAGTAAATATACATTTGCTGACGCATACCACAGTGATGGTCATCATAGCACCATGGACCTAAAGAATAGAAGAACAGTTGTATTTAATGTCAACACAATCATAAATATTATGGGTCGTGTGTGATTTCCCAACTCACTGGGAGGGAGAGGAGTTGCAGGGGAGGCAGACACTTGACGCTCATTGAGCTCTTGTACAGGCCGGAAAACATTGACGAGTCCCGTCTTCATGGGAAACCTCTTGATCTTAAACAGAACAAAACAATGTTTTAAATCAACAGATCCAACGCAAGTTACAAGAAAAATGCTTAATGAGAAACAGCATTTGACAGACTGTAATGTTACGTGACTATAAACCTGTGGATTTTGTCTTTTCTTCCAGCAGTCAGGGCTCATACTTACCGGTGTCAGCACAGAGCACTAGACCATTGTGAAGAAGACCTCAATAAGCACTCAGGCTGTTGTGTCCAGTTTGTCACAACTATTTGCCCTTTTACTCTGTAAAGTCACAATTTCTCATTGCATTATTGCAAGGGTGTGACTCAAATGAGCACTGCACTGATTTAGCACTGCACTCCTGTAACAACTGTGGGATTCACAATGGAAGGTTTTAGGAAAAAAAAAAAAAAAAAGCCACAGGAGCCTTGCTTTGCGACGCAACCATAAGCACAGCTGGTGACGCAGAGCGAAATTCCTCTGTAAACCAGACCATCATCTCATTTCTGTTACGCCTTCGCTGGCACACACTACAAAAGGCTTTTGTAGTCGTCATAGACGAGGATGCAGCCCCACAACTCAAATGAGTACTGCACCGATTTAACTGCCTGACACCGCTCACTGACAAATTGCTGTCATTATGATGGCAGGTAGACAATCTATAGTAGCTGTGACGGGTCCAACTCTATATGAGGAAGATTACAATTTCTAAATGCAAAGGAGGTCAAAGAGTCAGACACCTGCTCAGAGACATGGAGCTCGCTGATGGCTGTCACATAGATAAGATGAAAGATTACATGCGTCTTTTTACAAAGAGATAACTCAAATTCTCTTTTTTCTTTACACAGTCACATGCATTTTGCCCAGCATTCTCTCTTGTTGCCAGTCAACAGAGAATAAAACAAGCTTGATTATCAAAACATGATTATCAAACCAGACACCAGCATATACCAGTATATTTTGCGGCACATGTTTATGTCATGTGGCGACTCTAGCCTGCACGTATCATTGGCTGCTTGTGCAACAGTTTGAATGCAATTCCACTTGACATATAGGTTGTCCCATTTTTTTTTTTTTTTTTTTTTTTTTTTTTTTTCTTTAAAGTTGTTCAGCTTGACAGTATATGACTCAGCAATGAATAACCTGTTCTTATTCAAGGGTGAAGAAAACCTCAATAAAGAACTTGGGCCGTTGTGTCTGTCACAACTATTTTTCCTTTTACTCCTTTAAATTCACAATTTCTCATTGCTTTACTGCAAGGATCTGACTCAAATGAGTACTGCACCAATTGAATTGTCTCACACCGCTCACTGATTAATTGCTGCCATTATGATGGCAGGTAGACAATATATAGTAGCAGTGACTGGGGTCCAACTCCATATGACGCTCTATAAAGTCAAAAGGAAGCTGCAGATTCAGGTGATTCATCACTGCAAGCAACACTTTTCTAAACTCATGGTTTTCACTTTGTCATTTGATGCATAAATTATGAAAAAAAAAAAAAAATAGTGATTATAGCTGCTTTAAAAATGAGATTTTACATTTATTGGCTTTGTATTACATTTTGTTCTCAACCTCTGATTTGGCTTCTGTTATGCTGCAAATACAAGCACTATAAAAGTTTGAAAGGCCCTTACATTCCTCTCTCTGCTGAGGCGCATGTGTTGACTAAACATGCCCCCCCCCCTCCTTCTTATTCCACAGAAGAAAGGTTTCCAGGCTGCTAAACTTACCAGTTCTTTGTTGACATTGATTGGCTCATGAAAGACCGTCCATGCGACTGCTTCGTTGCAGGAGGGGGTGGTCAGGGAGCCCATGTACCGATAGAACTTTGTGAGGTCAACATTTCCAATCAGGTCATTAATAGAGATGTTATAATTTGTGGTACCCTCAGTGTCTGTGGAACGATGTAAGACAAAGGCCGTGATTAAATGAAAGGCGGCGTGTGGGTTTGAATGCACCAAAGTAACAGCGACCTTTGATTTGATCCCATCAACATGATCAGAAATGGAGTAACAACATGAGTATGGCTCCATCACCATTGATGATTACAAGGCATCTTATCTCAACTTCACCTGTTAATGACTACCTCTTACGATATTACAGAGTCACAGCGCACACAATACTTTCTCACGCAAATACATTAGCACTAAAGCTTAGGTATTTCCATAGGCATCGTGCCAACATTTAATAGAGCGGAAAAAAAAACCTTACCTTTGTTCCTGGGAAAATTATCAGATATTTTTTAATGTAAAAATCACGCTTGAAGTGTTGCAGTACTTCATTCCAGATTTTATTAAAGCAACCACAATGCATCCTGCACTAGATCTCTACAAGCTCAGTCGCTGCAAAACAAGGTGAAACACAAGTCAAACACCTACCTTTGTTGCTCATCAGGTGAGACGTGAGCAGGTTCCATGGTCCTGACATATTTCCATCTTCTGTTGCCTTTTAAAAAGGAGAAGACATTTTGAATTACATTTGAGTACAATAATGTGCAAATTAACTCACTGTACATGTAATTTTTTTTTTGAGTGGGTTGTCCGTGTTTCAGAGAGCCAGTGCATGACCTCTCATGTCAAGGTGTAAAATAAACAAAACAAATTGAGCATACAAAACCTAATCTCATAGGCACAACCTATTTCCAATGAGAAGGCTGAAATTCTGCAGAAATATAAACATTTTAGTGCCATTTTCAGTGTGTATTGAAAGGCTTGCCATGATAAGATTCTTTGAAATAATTGTGTACACATACATTTATGAAAAATCCAAGAACAGCAATTCCATCTGAATTCGCCGTGGCCTGTTCCACAGTAAGACCTTTCTTCAGACTGACAATGTGCATCTACAAGAGTTTATATTAATTAGTGAAATTGAGCAAGGTTAAAAAAAAATAAAAATAAAAAATACACAATCCTAAAAGGAGGAGCCGCATCTCTATGAACACCAAACACCAAAGTACCTCCATTGGATATCTGTGCCCATCAATCTTGTGCTCCGAACCTGGGTGGTATTCTGTATCACCCCAGTGAAAATGAAACTGGATGGTGGAATACGTATCAGTGAGTCCACCTCCACTCACTTCAACTTCATTTTCCTCCAACCTGCATTTCACTATGGGAGAGACGGAGACGCAGGTTTATGTAGATACAATACAGAAGTTTAAGCTTTGTGCCCTTTCCAGGACTCCTGTCACAAATACACATATTGTGTGTGTGTGTGTGTATGTGTGTGTATGTATGTATATGTATATATATATATATATATATATATATATATATGCAAGGACAAAAAGACACCTGCAGCCACTGTTTCTGTACCTGTATGGCCATTGTTTTCGATGGATTTGATGACGTGTTTGGAGAAGTTGACAAAGGTAAAGTTAAGCAGGTTAGGGTCCGTCTTAACATGGCTGGTGACTATATCAATGGGAGACTGCCGTTTTCCTCCACAGAAAGAACCATGGAGCTGTGGCCATTCGGATGGTGTGTGGTCTATGAAAGTTGGAGGAGCTCTTAATGTTGAGGACTGATGGTTTGATCAAAATCATTCAGTGAATCAGAAATCTGTCCTTACTTACCACAGCCATTATAGCACCAGTCACTCCCAGCAGCTGAAAGAGATATAGCCAACATGCTCTGAATACTGCAGTAGTTCATCTTATTGACCTTTCAGAGGGGCCTGACCTCTAGGTTGAGAATCACAACTAATTAACAGAACTCCATCTAGCTGCCTACTTAAAAAACTATAGTGACAACTTCACCAGCTACGAGAAAATACTGCTCATACATTAATTTCTTTTTTTTGTACCAATACATCATCAAATCATGCAATACAGAATAATACTTTTACTTTTGATACGAGTACACAATACCTCTGGAGTATTTTAACTTTATTGTAACGGTATCTTTCCTTAAGTGAAGAACATGAGCACGTCTTCCACCACTGTCTAATAAATACCACGGGCAGGAAACCTGGCAGGAGTCATGCAGTATGATGGACAGCTGTAGTCTGTGCTCCTTCAAACCACTCTCACGTTCAAGTAAAGCCTAAATAAACTGCATTTTACTCTGAAATATTGAAACAACAGTCATTTACAGAGTTCATTAACAAATATTTGCACTTTACTCACCAAATTTGACCAAAGCTCCCAAACTCAGGTACAGCAGCAGGGAGTGATGCATCTTCAGGAGGAAGGAATACGTCATTAATCACAGTGAGTCATCCACCTGTACTTTTAAAATTTGTCTCATTTAAACACTGAAGAACCTAAAAACAAAGTTTGACTAATCGTCCTACCTTGTGGTTCAGGTCTCGAGTCCCTAAGGCTTGAAATGAAAAGAAAAAAAAAAAAAAAAAAAAAAAAAAAAAAAGGAAGGTATGTTAGTATGAGGTGTCCATCAGTGAGGAGAAGGTGACAGTGTCCCAGAAGTTTATATAGTAGGAGGGACATGCAATGGGATATGGGGTGGGGGATGGGGGGGTGGGCACTGTGTATACAACACTAGACCTGTATGCTGGAGACGTGCAACATGACCACAGGCTGGTCTTTACCTGGTAATGTTTATTTGTAACAGCTACTGTTGTTCCACACCAACACACACACACACAGAGACAGACAAATTAAATGAACCTGCTCAACACCTCACCGTGTTGTCTCAATGCCACACCTCATTACGCTCAGCTTTTCCAAAACAGCAGAGCACCCTCTGTTAAAATCAACAAGAATTTTATCCAAGTCAAATGACTCAGAGAAATTACTATGTCATGTAGAGAATCAGTAGTGTATGAATCAATAAGGCGGAAGGAAAAGAAAAAGAACCATTGGAAAATATCAAAGGAACAGAGGCACTCTGGTTTTTAGTCTCCTAGTATACTAGAAATGTGACAAAAATGCAAAAAATAAAATAAAATAAATAAAAACATTTCAGTTTTGTTTTAGGTCCGTAACTATAAAACATTATTTAAATGAAATCCAGAACTACCATTTGCAGTAGTAGGTCAAGAGGCCCCAGGATGGGATTAGACTCATTCTTCCAGTCAGTGAAGACACTTGTAAATTTCAAGTGTTTCAAAAGTTCACCAAGATAACTATCGGAGGCATCTCACCTCACCGCCGTGAGAAAAAAAAAAGAAAAAAAGAAAAATAGTAAACCTTGTTGCCACACTTACATTCAGTGGGCTGTATCAATATTTTCATATCAAAAGTCAAAAGGTCAACACTGCCCTGGCTCTGGCTTGCATTGTGTTGATTCAACGACACACTCAAGAGATTTTTCCTCCTTTTTTTGCCAAGTCACTGAGACCTTTGTTTGTCCTTGACACAGGAGAGAAGCTCACCTGAAAACCTCCCAGCAGGAACAGCGACCAGTAAGATTTGAGTGAACTCTCAGCCAGAGAGTTCACTCAAATCACTTCTCGTGAGCTGAGCAGCAGCTTGGCCTCGTTTGGTAATCAGTGTGTGATTGGCTGAACAACTGACTTCATTACTTTCCATCAGGCTGTGGAGGTCGCAAATCTTTCTAGAAATCCAAGTGCCAACTGAGCTGTGTGTGTGTGCAGCTATGTTGAAAAGATGTGTAGCCCATACGCTGAATCAAAACACCTGATTTTATCCACAGAGTGGTTTGTTTAAAGTTTAGATGGAGTGTTTTATTTTGAAGGCCCTTTTACCCAACTTATTGACATTTTGTTATTTAACATAAACTTCAGGTTTAGGCCACAAGTGTGAGTGCATTCACAAAAATAAACCTGCCTATTAGAAACTAATTGGAAGCAAATTTGTGACAGATATAACTTGTACTTGTACATATCAGCCACATTAGGCAAAAGGTTTTATAGATAAGGAGAAATTTATTGTCAGGTGAGAATCAGTAACATTGTAGTAAAATTGTACTGTAACATGTTACAAACTCAAAGGACTTATCTTGAGAAATGTTATATTTACATGTTACATGATTGGCATTAGACTTCATTTTTCTGGTGCATTAATGCAGACTCCTGCCACAAAGATAGGCCTATAAACATCTTGCTCAGCTGCAACTACAATAATGCTGCTACAAAAACAAAGAAAAGAAAAGAAAAAAAAATCTGAACAAATAATAGCCAGTGTACATTGAAAATATACAAGATGTAGGTCATTAAATAAAGGAAAAGAAATGAAATTCTTTAAGCCTGTAGTACAAGGGTATTTAAAAATCTACGAGTTAACACAAGAATAGGTTTTTCTGTCAGCTGTCAGATTTGTGAAGTTCTCAGGTGACTAGTGAGGTATGAGCAGCAGGACAACCAGTCCTGAGCGCAGTACCGCCTGTGACCACGTGATGGCTCCAAAGGACAAAGTATCCTGGGTGCTCAGAGTAGGGAGGCAACAGTCCTGCAAAACAAAGGCCAGGGCATGAGAAAGTAGACCACCGCTGGGGTTATGTGCCTACCTACTATTGTGTCATTAAATGGATCAGTACGCTGTGAGAAGTGAGGAGTCTTACTGAAAGAGGGACCCGGTTAGCTCATCAACAAGGCCACCTGAAAAAAAAAGCGACACATAACTAAAGTTAAGGGGTGCCAGCGCTGACAAAACAAACAAACACACAATGGTACATGCACAGTATGAATAATTACTTGCAGTATTTACCTGGGGTGCATATTGTGTCACACAGTATGGGGCAAAGGTAGCAGGATGAGCATCCCTGGAACACAAAAAGGGTTTCCATGAGGAGGCTCTCGTCTAAACCAAATGTTGTATATAATTAACAGTGTTTACAGGACGGAGAAGATGCTTACTTGGCAGTGCTCACAGTGATCTGACTCATCTCCCTCTTCACAGGGACACTTGTCACAGTTGTTAGAGCAGTGCTAACAAGACAAAACACACACACACAGTGGACAGTTGTGTTTATTAACTCATATACTAGACTTACTAATAAAGAGTGTCAGGGCAGTCCCTCCACATCGTTTTACCTCACAGATGGAGCACACGCTACACAAAGAGCCAGAGTGGAATTGCGGCCTCTCAGTGGCGGCCTCCTCTTCACTTGCGTCCTCCTGGTTTTCTGCCATGTCGTCAGCTTCAGGCTCATCTGCGTAAAGTCAGCAGAGTCAACGACAAATTAGGCTTCTATATCGGCCAATGTTAGCTGCAGATATATATATATCAGTGTGTCCTTATCAGCTGATAAGTAAAAAGAAACTGTAAAACAAACATATCTATTATTTTTTTTAAAAATCTTATTTTTTATGTTATATGTTTATGTTAACTCCCATATATAAATATTAGTATCAGCCCTCAAAAGCTAGTCTAGTTTGGGCTATAACTTCTCCTTCATGTAAACCTCCCTTTTACCACAGATCATGTTATTAGTGTCAGGTCGTGTTAAATGCTAATATGCTCAATATTTCAAGGGAGTCAGCTGTGAAACTGGAAACACTGAGAAAGATATGTAGAGAAGACCAAATGTGCAGGTAGGTGCAAGACATAACGTCCAAGTGAACAAAGTTCCTCCACCACAGATGAATTATAACCAAACATAACGGTTGCATTGTGAGGAATAAAGAACAGCTTGAACAGAAAAACCACTTGGGACAAATTAATGGTCACTATCACAGCCAGTGATCAACAAGTGTTTAGCTTTTCTGAACTTACACTTTCACAGTACTGGTTTTGTCCCAAAATAGCCACATTGGCTTAACAAAAGGCATGAATAGTTAAATACTTCTGGGTGCCAGCTACACCACAGATAAGCCAGTCTATTTTAGGACTGATATGTATGACAGTGATCCTGCAGTAGCTGCAGCTAAAATAAACAAAGTCAGAGAAGCTACTTTACAGTCAAGATTTGCTCGAGGGGCCCAAGAAAAATAATCATTGGTCATATTTTATACCAAATTACTTTGTTTAAGTTTCATAAACCATCAAAATATTTAAAATCTCAATATATTGAAAAGTGGATTTACCGTCGTCTTCCTCTGCTCCAGCTGCATCCTCTTCCTCAGACTCATCCTCAGCAATATCCTCCTCTTCCTCAGCATCATCAGCCTCCTCCTCCGCAGCTACCTCCTCTCCTTCAGAGTCCTCCTCCTCCTCCACATCTTCATCAGCATCCTCCTCCTCCTCCTCCTCCTCATCTTCCTCCTCATCTTCCTCTGCTGCTGCCTCATCAGCCTCTTCTTCTTCTGCATCATTCTCCTCTTCCTCGTCTCCAGCCTCTTCCTCCTCCTCAGCAGCCACCTCCTCTCCGTCTTCCTCAGCAGCCTCGTCCTCAGCGTCCTCCTCCTCTTCTTCCACAGCATCTTCCTCCTCCTCTTCATCTTCCTCAGCAGCCTCTTCATCAGAAGCTTCCTCCTCTTCCTCCTCCTCCGCTTCTTCATCAGCAGTCTCCTCTTCCTCCTCCTCTGCTTCTCCTGCCTCCTCTTCTTCCTCCCCATCTTCCTCCTCAGCCTCCCCTTCTTCATCCTCCTCCTCATCATCTGATTCTTCTTCACCTTCCTCTTCTGCTACCTGTTCCTCTTCCTCACCAGCGCCATCATCGCCCTGAGTAGTTTCACCTTCCTCTGCAACGGCCTCCTCATAATTTCTGGCATGGAGGTCTGCCTCTGCTTCAGCCACGTCCTGGGCACTCACCACCCCAGAAAGCGGCACCTGGGACGGGCACAGGAGCACCAGCAGGAGCCCCACTACCCAGCCTTTCAAAGATGCCATCTTGGAAATTTTACACAGCTCTTCTTAGCTACAAATCCAGACTGGAAGAATGTCTTTTCCCTGTTTTTCCCACCAAAAACCAAAACAATCGTTGGGTTTTCAACACTTAAAAAACATAAAATCCACAGGAAACGCAACAGAGTTTCAGAAGATTGAGGGATATTATTCAGGTCTTTGCTCCAGGCCACAGACAGAGGGGGAGAGGAGGGCCGTGTTCACAAGACTGACAGAGCAGTGTGCCAGCCTTGTGCTGGGAACACAGAGGACACAGTGGAAGCACAACGGTGTGTGTGTTGTAGTTGTGTGGTTGTGTGGCTCTGTGTGCGTGAGTGACAGAGGCACATGTCCAGGAAGAATGCTCCTGATGCCCTTAACACAGTGTATTAGAGAGGTGGGCGTGTACATATGGCAGTCGGGGGTTTTTTGGACTGCAGGAGGGGTGGGAAAAAGAGAGGTCAAAGAACATATGGAAATGAGAGGGAGGGGGAAGTTTAATTGTTGACATTAAATAATTCAAATTGAAGATGAAGTTTTCCTTTAATATGACCATTGTAGTTGTAATGCTAAACTTCCAGGAAAGCAGCAACACTTCATATATATATATATACACATACTGTATATATGTATATATGCGCACTTGCATGTTTATGAATTTTCATGTCTGTTATTTATCACTGCTATTATTATTTTGTTTCATTTATTTATTTATGTATAATTCTAATTTCATGTAACAGTGACCCATGAAACTTTCCAATGTCAGTAAATCCCCCAAAGAAATGATCCACATCCATAAAACCTAGTCCAGTAAATAAATAATTAAATAAAGTTAAAATCAAACTGATGATTCTAAAGTAAAGAAGTTCTAAACACATTCACACACTCCAACAACTTTGACTTTGCTGTATATTTCAGCCCAGTAAAGCTGCTTGAAGTGTAGTGAAGTTCACCAATACTCCCCTATAGATGAATATACCATTTAATGTGGTTGTTACTCAGGGCTGCATGTGCACACAACTCTACTGCAGATTTGAATGCACATGCAAGCCTCACTGAAGCTCAATGTAATAAAAAATATTTGGAATGACTTGCAAAATGAGGGAATGTAATGCTCTTTAAATTACAGATTATGAAATTACCACAGGCTTAAACCAACACCTCTGAGACACAGTCTCAACAGCGAAGGTAATATTTGCCTGCCATTCCCAAAGCAGAGCACAGCATGTCAGGATGATGTATGGAATGGACGTAAATAGAAGAAAATGGAGGTGATAGTGGTCTGCACATGTGCAGTGCGTTAGACGCAGACGTGGGCAGCTGACATTCCAAAGAAATGGTTTACATCTGAACATTTTTACTCCAGGGTTTTGATTAAGAGAGACAGGAAGGAGATGTAGATTCAGAAGCCCTCTACTGTTGCATGGTTGTGTGAACTGAGAAGCATTTACATTAATATGACTGAGACACACAGACATGGGGAGTGAGTGAGACACATAATCACTTACATAGGTGAATGTTTCCACATGCAGCAAGAGGGCTGGACGGAAGAGAGTGATGACAGCGCCTCTCTCGGTGCGAGCTGCTGGTGCGATTGACAGGTGGCCCCGCTGGCTATTTACAGTAAAGGCTCCTTCAACAGCGCGGCTCCACTATGTGACCTTCAATAGAACTCTGGCATACTGAAAATAAGCACTGGTGCACTTTTCACATTATCCATATCCTCTTCTCTTTACAGTATATATATATACATATATGCACACACACACATACAATATAACTGCCTTGCTTCCAAGTTTTAGTCACACACATTCCTGGCAGAATTTCTTGTGAAATTTACATCATTTGATCGCATGTCTTGTTCATTTCTACTGGTTTGTTTGTGCAGCTCTCGGCCTGACACCAGAGAATGTCAGAGCCTCCACATGATTTATCATTAAACGATTAGTTTGACATTTTGGGAAATACGCTTATTTGGTTTATTGCCGACAGTCAGATGGTACATATGTAGCTGGAGCCAGCAGCTGGTTAGCTTAGCTTAGCATAAAGACTGGAAACAAGGGGAAACAGCTAGCCTAGCCTAAAGCTCAGTAATTAACATGTCATATCTTAAGCCATGCTAGCTGTTGCCCTGTTTTCAGTCTACGCTGTTTTCTGGCTCATTAAAGTTGTATTGATCTTTTCATCCAACTCAACAAAGTGAATACATGTATTTCCCTCATTGCATGAACTAGTCTTATTCCTGTAACAATAACATTAAACATGTATTCATTATATGTACAATTTATTGAACAGAATAAAATAATGTAGCAATACAAATACACAATTTAACATTTCAGACTGTTTAAAGCAACCCTTTAGCCAGAAAGTAACTGAACACAAAAGTGATACTATCTGTAACTAATGTAACCCTGGTAACAACATCATAGTTTGAATGTAACAATAAAAAACTATAAAAACCTTAAAAACAGAATTCCACCTGTCAGCTTAAAACTACAGCAATAAAGACATAATAGCATTGGTAAATAAAATACATATAATATATCATACCACATCATAAATACATGCTCTTGTCTTTGGCATTAGAGTAAGATAGATTTTACACTTAAATTATCATCTTTTGCATTTGCTCAGTACTGTAATAAGAAGTGATGTCATATGATATCTGTTCTCTTTTTTAAATTAAGACTCACTGATAACCTTTGGTGAATGTGTCCAGTCTGGAAAACACTGAGACTGGTGGGTGCGTGGCATGAGAGCAGCCTAAGCCAAAAGCCATCCAGTCTTGTCTTTTACTGACCCTGAGCAAGTGAAGGCATCACCGAGGCTGAATCAGGTGGAAGTGGAAGAAGAAGGGAACGCATCTGTGTAGAAGAAGAGGTACAGTAAGGTGGCAGGAGGGAGACGTTCAGTATGAATGCCTCGAGGCAAACACACCTGTGGCATTTGAACATGCAGACTTATTCTCATGTGCGAAAATGCATGTATGTCATTTGTAAGCACCTCTTAATGTCGGTGGAGGCCGGGGAGGTTTGAATGTGCTGCTTTGCGCCAAAGTTTCCACAATCCAGCTGAGAGCGTTTGAGCAATACTCCATCTGAAGAGAAGGAACATATTAAAAAAATATACTCTACTAGAAAACAGTCATTTCCAAATTATATATATTATAACACCTGGGGGGGGGGCATTATTTGGATAATGCCATACAGTAGGATTTACATTCAAATCTACCTTATTTATCCTTACCTAAGTTATAAACACTGTCTTTCTGAAACACTTGAGAATGGAGCAGGAAATGAGAATATCACACAGTCCAGTCTGAACTTAAAGGAATAGTTAGTTAGCTTTCTGGCAGATTGTTAGATGAGAAGACTCTCGTATCTGCCCAATAAATATGAGGCTACCGCTTAGCCAGCCAGTTATCTAGCTTAGCATTAAGGCTGGAGCCAGGGGTAAACAGCTGCCTAGCTACTTGCACCTCAAAACTAATTAACATGTTATATCCTGTTTCACAGGCTTTACAGTAGCTATATATTTACTTTACAGACATGAGAGTGGTACCAATTTTCTTATCTAACTCTCAGCAAGAAAGCAAATAACTATATCTCCCAAAATGTCGAGCCATTCCTTTAACAAATGTGTGATTTTCATTACCTAAACACATACTGTGACACAGTGTTGTAGTTGTCATGATATATAGTCACCCAGCCCTGCTATATGTAGATGGGTGACATTTTTGACCTTTATACAGACTAGGTTTGATCAGCCAACACAATCTTTCAACACCACGTATATACAAAGAAAACATTTTGATTTAACTTTACCTCATTCTCCAGAGCCCTTAGTCTGTGGTCAAAGTCTCTGCTTTCAGTCAGATGTTTAAGCACACCATCCACTCTAAGAAAGGAGATTTGCACCTCAGTATGGTGAAGCCAAAAGATAAGAATATGCTAATGTGTAGGAAGGTGTAGAAAGGCATGCTTACTTGACAGACATCCGCTTGAGCCTCTCGGAGTCGCTGCTTTTCTGGATCTTGGTCTGTGCAGTTAGGAAGTCCTCCTTCTGAATGGTTTCCCATGTCATTAGCCTGTTAGCTACTTTCCCTCTTAACTGCAGTACTGATGGAAAAGGCAAAGGTATTAATCAGTAGGCAAAGAGTTTTGATTTCAAACAGCATTTAATGTGTGTTGGGCAATAACTTTATCCCATTAATAAGACACACTTGAGACTGTTCAAATACTGACCAAAGTGGTGGATCTTGATCGAGGGCACCTTGCGGATGTTCCTCTTGATAAAGAGATTGATGTGAGAGAGGATGATGAAAGGGGGTGCCAGGGAAGGACGAGAGTGGTACTGAACAACCAGGTTGTAGCGCTGGAACTTCCAGTAGATGTCACTGTTCGCTTGCACTTCAGAGAAGGTGTAGCTGTGAGGACGCAATCAGGGTTAGAGAGTGTTGTGTAGAGAGATTGGCATGTCCAGTGTAGCCCCAGAAACAGAGTGACGGACACTACTCTCCTTTTCCGTTACCTAAACATGGCGATGAGCAGGTTGATGAGCAGGATGTTGGTGACCAGCAGATAAACGACCAGCAGAATTACCACCAGCCAGTTACTGTACAGTGTTCTGCACGGCTCTGCACCGCCATCAATCAATGTCACGTTGTGTGTGCAGACCATGCCCCAGTCCTTCCCCACTGGGATAGATATGAAAATATAGAGAAGATCATTTTAGCTAACTCTAATCATTGTGGAGAACTTTAAAGATGCAGCGGTTGTGCACACATAAACACTTATACCGTCTATCTCTTCCACGGGGATCTGTCCGAAGATGTGCAGATACGGCCTGTAGAAAACCCGGCGGAAGATGCGATCCAGGCGAGGGTCGTAGGAATAAAGCAAAGCCTGGTTGGCTACTCCGTATGCCATGAGCCACACCCCCAGGAAGAAGAGGAAGAAGAAAACATCCTTCATCTGAACAGGAGAAATCAATCATCTTGTTGTCATTATAATGCCCATGTCACACCGTATAATGTTGCTAAAATGTCATGTTATTGACATCTTTTGATATTTCTCACCATCTTGCCAACAATGATGATTTTTGGTCCCAGCTGTTTGTGAATGGCAAAGATGTGAATGAGGCGAAGGGTGAAGACCATGTAGTCCACACAAAGGACATCCCGACCAAATCCGTACGACCAGTGGAACATCCTACAACACAAAGAGAGTGAAGTGAATAAACTGTGGTGCGAGCAACGCCCAGTGACCAGCTTTTAAAATAACTACACTACTGAAAGTGAAGGGGGGGGGGCATAATCCAGTAACAACAAAAATATACATGTCCTGTGTGCAATCACACCTGCAGATTAGTCCTATGATGAAGAGCGTGATGGCAGTGAGGTCACACTTGTTCCACACATCCTGAATGTACACCCTGATCCTCTGACGCCAAGTCATCGTCCCCAAAAAGAAAGTCTAGGCGAAGAAAACACCAACTTAATAGATACATATAACTTAGGACTGCATTGTTTCCTATGTAAAGCACATACAAGCCTAGAAACAGAATACTGTACAGTGTTTTCAAGGATGAGTGAAATTCTTTTATTTTTTATTTTTTTATTCTATTTTTTACAGAATGGTTTAGTGTTTGGTGTGTCCAAATATATAACAAATACTTCTGAATCACTTCATTTAATCAGGCACTTTGTTTTGTTTTTTCTGCCTGTACTCCTGCAATTACAAAATGTAAAGAAGATGCGTCAAACACCAAGTATGACTCAAGACATCTCTCTGCACTCACCTCCCGGATCTCCTCACACACGATGGTGAATACCCAGAAGTACAGCACGTACTCGGTGATGGCCGGACCAGAGGGTGGAGGGGGCTTGAAGTCCACCAACAGCACGTAGGCGAAAAGCAGCAGGAAGAGGAAGTACATCAGGACGTTGCCCAAAAATGAGGTGACGGGGGCAAACCAGAACTGGCGCCATCTTGACACGATGAATGGACGCTTTGGTGGTCTGTGAGTGAGAGGTATGCCTGACGGGAAGGTCATCGGATATGGATTAGTAGCTGATACAATAATCATTTCTGCAATCAGCCTTTCCTCTCCTCTGTTGTGCGAGTGACAACACTTTTTCCAGAGGTGCTGCGTTTAAAGAAGACTCACCTTTGATGGTTGCTGTCCGGGGAGTGATTGCGTCTTGTGCATCAGCTTCACTGGGACAACAGTGACACAAATTTAACAAATTAGTACACTACAACAAATGCAAAGCAGTGGGTCCCATTTAAAACTGCAAAGCCAATGGATCCCATTCACTTGCATTAAGATGACAGAAAAAACATGCAGTAAAAAGCAGACGCCTGAAGTTCTATATAATAGCTTTGGCTAATGTATAAGAGTATTACATGTGCTTGATGTCAGAGAAAGAAAAGATGGTGGTGCCATAGAGGCTGTCACTGTCCCGGCCCGGCCCGTCCTCATGAGGCTTCTCCTCTTCTATCTGCTGGTCCTCGTGTTTCCTACATACAAAGTGTAAGTTTGCGTTGAAAATCAAACTGATGACGGTTCTGGGATCTCAAAAAAAAAAAAAAAAAGCTAAAATAAGTCTAGTGTGGAATATGTGGACTTTACCTGAAGGAGATGAGGTTGGTGTAGCAGAGGACGGGGCAGAAGAAGGTGAGCAGGAGCTTCCACACCTCCGTGCTCCTCTTCATGTCCCCCCACCAGATCTGGGACAACAGAGACTGGAGGAGGAGAGACCATTCATGTTATTTGAAAATACGGTAACACTGTAACTCAGCTTCCCTTTACAAGTTTAAGATTTTAATATGATTCTTTATCAAGACGTGGAATTAAGTTTAGCTCACATACATCAACAACATACAGTTCTTAACATTTAAAACAGACTAAGCAGAAATAGAACAGTTTGAACTGGAACAATAAAGCAGTGACTTGGTTCCATTGTTGTCGATAACATGTCAGTCGAACACGTGTCAGTCGAACACGTGTGAGCACAGCGACACACCTGTACTCCGTCATGGCTGAAGAAGAGCCGTGCGTCAGCGCTCATGCCCATCTGGAGGCAGGTGGTACCGCCCCAGACTGGAGACTGCCTGATCAGCAAGGTGAAAGAGCGACTCTCATCGCTCCGATAGCAAGAGCTGAAGATGTCTGACAAGTAAGGAATGGATAGTCATCATACAATGGAGTCACTTATTGTTTAAAGGGACATCAGTGGTCGATGCATTCACGGTCTTACCATGTGCCAGGTTCTCAAACCTCTGGGCCAGCTCTTTCATGGACAGTTTGGTCTCATTCTCAATCTCCAGCTTGGACAGTTCTCTCAGGATCTTACAGCCGCTCAGAGCGCTCAGCACTGACTCCCCTGCCTGGGAGAAACAATGAGGGATATCAGAGAAACTCCTTTTGAAACAGGTACTGACAGGACCTAGAGCATTTTGCAATTAAGTCAGTATGGTCATAAACATTTTTTTTTTTTCAATCTGTCAGTTAGTTGGTTTTTCTGCAACTGCAAATATGCCATGAGCCTGTAAGTATCAAGAGATTTACCATCTCCCAGAAGAAAGTGGCCATATTGCTGCGGTTCTGCAGGACGGCCCAGATGAAAAGCGAAGCCCAGGGGAAGAGGCAGCGTCTCTCCCGATACAAGCAGTCTCCGCGGAGCAGCTTACTGGCGCGCTGGGGTGAATGGAAAAAATGAACTAAGGGTATATTGGGTCGAAGGTGAGAGACTAACATTCACTCGTGTCTTCTGAAATCATACAAGCTCATGATTTCATCAATCATATAAGCTTTGATATACATTGACAGACACTTTATTAGGTGCATGTGCAAAATCTAATACGATCCAATAAAAGAGCTCAACCACAAAATCTTCCGTTACAAAGATAGCTTTGCTCAGTTTTTGTTGACACTGTCAGACAGGTTGCTAATTCACCTCTATGTTTATCATCGCTGGGGTTGTCAAACATGACTACATTATATTGAGAGGCGTTTCTAATATTTTGCCCACGCAATTCTAAACATGAGGAGGGCAGAGTATTAGAAAAACACCTCTGACCGGATTAACAAAAACTGAACATTATCAACTTTATAAAAAGGTAGATTTTACGACTTTTACGGTTTATATTACCCGGAGAGCTCTCCTCTTGGATGTGATCTGTTCTAAGCCCAAAGCATCATAGTAGAATGGCTTGCAGACATCACCCATCAACAGCTCCAGGACGCTTGACACCTGAGGAAGAGAGGGGGTAAAAACACAACACAAGAGTGAGCGCAAATACAAGTTTTCTTCACATTATTTCTGATTTTATTTCAGTTAAACTAAAAAGCATATATATATATATATATATATATAAATTAATAAAAACCTCAAAAAGGCTGATTTCCTTCACTGGCCCGCTCTGCATCTTCTCTGCTCCCACTTTAGAAGTTGAGCCCTGCTGGTAAGACGTAGTAAAAATTCCAACCCGCTCCATGAGGTGGCGCTTTAGCAGATGGTAAAGAAGTGTCCCATCAGCCACTGAGTGGTAGAGGCTTTCCAGCCTGCCATAAGTCAGGTAGTCCAGGATGTTGAGGCCGTTCTCAGTGAAAAGACGCACAAACTGCGGCTTGTCGTTGATCAAGGCATCGGTCATTGAGTCTTCCAAGTCTTCGTACTGTATGAGTGGATGAAGGTGATTGTTTATTGAGCAGGTTTCAATACAAGGTCAATACTCCATTTCATATTTTTATTTATTTTATATCTAACGCCACTGCACATCACTTAAAGTATTTTATTTGACACAAGTGGTACAGTACAGCTACACTAGTCCATTTCCTTTAAAATGGTAGGACTACTGTGAAAGTAACATATGATGTGTTGTGTGTGTGTCCCCCCCCCCCTCACCCTCCAGTGGATGTCTCCATTGAAGAGTTCGCTCTTGGCAATGTCGACCCTGTTCCATGTGACCGCCAGCTTCAGCTCTTCATTGTAAGGGCTGGCATCGACTGACGCACGGTGCTTACTGGCTGAAAAACACAGAAGCACACCACAAACATCCAAATAAAGACGCGCTGCCATGTAAAACATTTGAACTCTTAATGATATGAATTAGTTAGTATTAGTATTAGTAAGTACCTCCCACTAAGGCTTTGAGCAAGACTGTATCAAAATCATTTGGGCCCTCCTGCTCTCCGTGGTAGATCGTAATCAAATCTCTGTTCTGGTAGATACTCAGAGCCTGGAGACAGATGAACGAATGAGGACAATATCTGGTAACACTGACAAAGACATTAAAAGAAAAGAAAGTGATAAAGAAAAGATTTGGTGACAGAGGGTACCGTCAACCCCATGACATCATTAAGTGCATGGCCGTCCCACACTGAAAGAGCAGCATATCAGACATACGAAGATTTCATCACGGCATTTGAACCTAAGCACCGACAGCAATGAGTAGAAATGAATAAGACGATCGTGAGAGTGTGACTCCAATCATTCCCCAGCTCACCAGATAGCGAGTGACAACACGATTGGATTGTAAGCGCTGATTACGTTACTGTTTCAATAAACATTAGGACACTGATGAGCCACACACCTCTGAGGCAGCATGTGATACTGGTGTTACATAAACAACACAGCTTCGTGTGATGAGCTGTGTAGCAGTAAAAACAGTTACATTTGCTTTTCAATGGACTCTTTTATAACAGAGACGTCACAGAGTGGAAAAAAGCTAAGAAACTTAACAATAGATTCGTTAAGCTAATGCAAGAATCTCGTCAGTTCCTGCCAATTGTCAAATTTCCATTTAAAACAGAGAGCACAGTGAGGATACTTTGGATACTGATATTGCATTCTGGAAATTTTCCGGAGTCAAATTCCAGTGTATTAGAGGGTGTTTTTTGGCTACGGATGTTCTCAGGAGACTGATACAGATCGAGTCAATTGCATGTTGTTGGCTATATACTATACAGCCAATCCATTTTCAGACTTTTGTGTTAAAAACAAAAAACAAAAAAAAAAACAACCCCATAATGCCACATTAAAACTGAAACGTGCTTCCAAATTACACACAGCTTGTGAGCGAGTGCATTGTGGAGAAGCAAGAACAAATGAATAACAGCCAGCAGTTTCAGGAATCTGGGACAAACTGAGGCCAGAAGTTGTTTGAGAAAGAGCCCAAAGTCTACAGGGCAACATGCTGATATTTTAACTGTTCTTAGAGCCTTAGCAGCAGTGGGACTAAAAATGTGAGCTTGCCCTGAGGGTTGTGCTGAAAAAGAGTCTATGGAGTCATAAAAAAATCAAAAGACTTCATCCACTTGGGAGCACAAACATGCTCAGCAAATGTATTGGCCATCTGCCTATTACATTATGAAGTATCTTGTGTGACTAAAATTGGAATCATGACCTTACGGCGTTAAAAAACAACAGATCAAAGAGTCACTGATAACATCTGAAAACCTCTGAGGCCGAGAATATCACGGTTAAATTTCACAGCCAGCCAGCCAGTAGTTGTCCACAACAAAACACACCAGCTGTTGAATATATGAGATGAAGAAATCCCTCGGGCCTGTTCTGTATGTCAATAACCGCACAACAATGACACGCAAGCCTCTGCCCAAAGCTCTTACTCGTTCAACTAGTTTGTCCGTCTCTGCTTCAGAAGGGAAGTACTTTTTAACCCGCTCTGCCACTCTGTCTTTCAGATCCACGCTGGGACCCGCCTCGCCATCACCCTCGCTGGAGGACTGGACCGTCGGGGCTGACGCCAAGTTCTCCAAGACATCACTCAAGAAGTCAGCCACGCCTCCTGAGCCCGCCAGCACCAGCCAGGGCATGTTGTTCTTCAGGGAAAGATCCACTCTCTGTCAGGAAAGGAGAGGGATATTTACTCATGGAATACAATGGTATCATTAAAAAGTAAATTTCATTATTAAAAGTGACCTAATAATTTCGTGGATCATAAATAGCACTGACTGTACCTCCAGCATGCTCGCCTCCCCAGACACCAGCATACAAAGGACAGGGATGTCAATGCTGCCACTGCCTACAAAAATGCAATCCACATTTTGTTTTTTTACAAATTCCTTAAGTGCATTGGTAAATTCAAACTCATAAATGCAGATCAGCACAGGAACAACAAGAACAGCCTGTTAAATTTTTGGAAAATCTCTCTGCTTGATTTTACATGTTGAGCTGTGTATCAAATTCATGCACAGGCATGCAACTGCTTTCATCCAGTGGATACCAAAGAATTATCTTATCATCACATGCATCAGTGAGGGATCACCACAAGAGGGCCAAATAGATTGAAACCAGGGTTGAATGTGAAACAACTCGTCGATCCGCTGTTTAATTTAGGCATGATCAGTTTTCAATGGTTGAATACAACATCCCATATCCAGTTCTACCAGCTGTTCAGATGAATAAAAAACAACACAACAGAAGCAAAAAATGGCGAAGCCTACTTCCTTAAGTCACAAGTGTCATACTCTTTAGCTCTGCCACAGCAAGCAATCTGTATCATCATTCTATATGTGATAGAGTAAATGATATTGCATTATGCCATCTCTCACCCCAGATGCCTGTGCGCTGGTGGGAGATGTAGTCCTCCAGTTTGGCCCTGAACCCCGTATCCCCTCCTCTGCGCCCCACACTCCCATCGTCTACCAGCAGGAAGGCCTGGTAGTTGTTGTCCAGGCAACAGGAGTCCCGGGTCGTATTCTGGACGAAGTACTTAGCAGGAAAGCTGCCCTGCAAAAGAGGAAGATTATTGCACAAATTTTAAAATCTGAAATTACTCTCACTTTTTAAAGCTAATATTACAGTGAGATTGTTGTAGGTATTTTTTTTTTAAACAGTGAAGAAATTTGTAAATATGTGAGTGCCAGTCCAACCTGAGGGTTGACGAGCTGCTGTCGATTGTGCACCAGGCCCCAGGGAGCGATGCCCAGCGCCACCACCTTGTTGAGGGACACCGACGAGGCTGCAGTGGCATGATCCCTCACCGCCTCTCCAACACATCTCCCTACACCCTCACGCAAGCCTGCCGTCAGGATCCACGCTCCTGGGTGGAAAAGTTAAACAGTGAATGCGAAAAGAAATTAGAAATTGTGGAATTTTACTAAGCCTGGACAATGACTGTCATTTCATTCCACAACAACCTCTGTACTAATATGTAAATCTCTGTCATATTTCACCAGATCCTTGAACTTAACTCTTAAGAAAATATAAATTCATACATCTATATTTGCATTTCTAAATTATTGTGTAATTTACATATTTGTACACATGCTTCCATCACTTGGCCTTTATTAATTTCTGCTTAGGATTTATTGCCAGTTCTGTTCACTTAAGTTTAACAAGAGCCATGTCCCTTACTACACGTTTCATTTAGGGTACAAAACAGGCAGGGACTGAATTGTAGAAAACAAAACTGATAACAAAAAAAAGAAACTGAAACCAGAAGGAAATGAAAGAAAGGAAAACACTTTGTGGATCCCAAAGGGATAAATTCAAGTGTCATAGCAGAGGAGATTGCATGTGTATGCTGATCTGTAAAAGAAGAAATTTGAAAGTTTGTACAAGAAAAACTCAATAGATACCATAGTAATGCAAACAGCTGTTGTATGTTTTTGTGTGTGACAACAGCTTTAACATTTCTGCAGTACAAAAGCAGCAAATGTGTTATCCAGCATGTTTATAATTATTCCATGTAGTACCCTGTGTCCATGCCTGCAGCTTATGTATGTTCATGTGTACGCCTGAATGTTTTTGCACGCGTCTTATTGTCTTTGCTTTGATCTGGGGCCTCTGAGAGAACAGCTAGTCGGCTGGAGATCAGTATCACCGTGTGCCACCTGCACTTGGCACAGTAGTCAGGGGGAAAATGGCCATTGTAGTATCAAATTAGGATCAGACCCCAGAGAGTCATGTAGTGGAATGGTACTGCATTTTTCCTGTTTAAACCACAATGAGTAGGTTCAATGTGTTCCAAGAAAGAGTCGACTCATTATTTTACATTATTAGTCAGTTCCTTAGAATTATTTATGGGGTTTGCGATTTGACTTCAAGCTAAAAATAAATAAAAAATATAAAACTGAAAAGTATGTCACTCTTTATGCTCTAATGTAAAGTAAAAAATGATCCTGTTTAAATGGTACTATATCTTGTAGTTTTTTGTTGTCTTGACCTCTAAAGAAAATTTTCATCTCAACATATAGGGGAGGTTTTTCACGGAAAGGACCGAAAGTAACTTAACCTGATGTAAAGTGTATGAATGTAAAGTTAAGTGTCATAATAGTATCTGTGTCCCAATTAAAAGGTAGCTACATCAGTCAAAACTGTCTGTAAAATCATGACAACTGCTTCACCAATTGAAGCTAACTGATATTATCAAGAGACTGTGAACAGTGTATATAGATGTAATCCTGTTAACTGGCTTCCAGCCTATGACCCACCTATGTAGAGGGTTTTTAAGTGGTGATTTAGTTACTCCAGAGTTACGGTTTGTTTTCATGATGCGTTTACCTGTGCTTTGTGAGGCTTTCACCAGTCCCTGCCTGAGGACCTCCCGTACCCAGGTCTTCACCTTTGTCCTTCCTTCTCCACCCACAACAGAAACCACTAGATTGGGCGCAGGCAGGCCCCAATGGGCTGTCATCAGGGTGTAGACCATAGACGGGGATGTGTCCCATGACAGACGCAGGAACTGAGATACCCAAGAAAAACAAAGTAGGCATTTGTTTGATTATATGGAACAATTTTTCAAAAGAGGGAAAACGAGCCAAGAGACAAACTAAGACTTCAAAAATAAAAAATTTTGATCACTTTAGTATGATAACACATCCTGAATTATACTACAAGAGTCTCCAATTTGTTATGCTAAACCAAATGAGCTTCTCAGCACAGGTCTGAGATCTCACTCTCAGTACAGGTATGTGTTTGTTTACTCAAGTGCAGCGGCAGGTTAAAGGTTAGGAAAAGCAACCGTGCAGACTACTACAGCTTTTGGTGTATTTGAACTATTATTTGGCCTTGAACCTTTCCAAGCATTTGTCTTAAACACTTAACACTAGCATAACACTGCAGATTTGATCACAAAGTCTACGACTATAGGAATAAAGCATTTAATGAACCAGTCGGAGAAAATTGATCAAGTTGACAGAAAAGCACCAACATGGCTATGCCTCTTGCTGGCTCCTGCAAACTGCAGCTCTCCAAAGGCATCAGTTGGGTACTCAGAGGAGTGCTGGGCGCTGTCCCAGTGGTTGACGATCGCCGTGCTGAAATAGTCACCGAGAGCCACAGAGGCATGGGCATCTCTCGCACCCCCACACTGGCAAAGCACACCATTACTGAGAGAGGTGAAAGAATAACACATCAATGTGAAAACATGATCGTCTTAAGATGCATCACCACAGTCATTAGAGAGACATTTTTAAGTCACAAAGAAATGTGCTCCAGGGTTCACAGTACCTGAAAGAATCTTCTACAAAGGTGGTGCACACTCTTTTCTTTATGATTTTGGGGATCCAACTCTGAAAACATTTTCAACACGTTAATAAACTGAATTTATGTGAAGGCTGTTTCAATTTTAGGAAGATCAATTCTGACAATCCCCTTGTATGCCTGGAAATCACATGGCTGCAGGGTGTAGCAAACTCTGGTTAAATGAGAAATGTTGACTTTGCCTCCGTGAAATACCTGATACCTGGCTGGTGAGATATGCTGCACCTTAACACCTGGCTGTGACTTCTGACGTGGTGCTGTAGTTTCAGCTCAAGAGACAGTGTGTGTGCACGTGTGTGGTGGGCACGTAGGTATCCTTAGTTCATTCAGTACATTCTGCAGGACAACTGCAAACCTACTCATCAAACAAAGGGGCCCCAGGAGACTCTTTACAACTAGAAACTGGACTGGACTTTCTTTACTACTTTGAAATGTAACTAACACCATGAGGAGTTTCTTTTAATTTAAAAAAATGAATTCCCAAGATACACTGTTGTATCAACAACTGTGTGGTCACGTGACCGTATCTTTCTCACAGGACATTTCGGCAGGCAAACATCAGGAAAACCATGTGCATCTGCTAAAAGAATGGCTCCGTTCCGTTTAGCTGTGCCAGCAGCCCTGTCTGCGAGCCAGTGGGCACAACACCTGAGCCCTGGAGCTGGCACGACTAAACGGAATGCAGCCATTATTAATGCAATGAATTGCACCTGTGCCTGTCATGTGAAAATATTTTTTTTTACAACTTTTACACCTGTTGTATTTTTATCCTTTGGAAGCTGGTATCGCGATATTAACAGTGATTTATTTCAGCTTTAACTCTGTAAGTATAAACCATATAATCTAATGGAGTGGTGAATATTATATAACCTTAGTTAGCTGGTGAACTGCTGGGCAATATTGTTATGGGCGGGTTCTCGTCTTTGTTCTACGGGAAGTAAACGTTGAACTAAAAAACCGATACGTTGGGAAACGTTAACCGGCTAATTAGTCGTTAGTGTTGTTGCGGAAAAAAAACAAACACATTGGACAGTTTTACAACTTACAACGCTAACGTTAGCTTAACTTCCGCTGGTCTGACAACTGACTACACACAGTGTCAACACACACGAGCAGAAACTAGCTGCCCTTCGTTACAACATGCCAATATGTTTACACACCCGGCCTCGACGCTGTTACAGAGCCTTAAGATTTCCAAGACCAGACCCTACATTGAGTATTACATTACTACACGACCATTTGAGACGTGCTGAATAAAGCAGGCTGTTAGTCCTTCGTCATCGTGACTCAGATCCAGAGGGAGTTACTGCCAGGCACAGCCTTCATTACAACTTGTTGTTTGTAAACTCCCTCCTTTTATTAATCTCTTCGCGACTGTAGCCTTTGGCAAAAACGCCACGCCATCACGAGAGTCACCGAATGATTTTACGGAAAGCCTACCCACCTGGTCCTTCTCAGATTTACGGATTTTGTCTCCGCTGTCTCCTCCTTCTGTGTCACTCATGTTCTTTCCCCTTTGTTGTTCGACTCAGTGGGAGATAGGGGGAAAGACTTCAGGATTTCTTTCTGACCATTCTCTAGTGAATAGGCTAATGTACTGGACTGCTGAAGTTTAACATGCCCGCATCTATGTAAATGCCATTTCTAAGTGTCTCTCAGCAGCCAGTCAGAGGAAACCGGGTTTGCAGAGCAGACACACCACACAGGTGAGGGTGTGGTTTTACAGGAGCCACACAGTTTGTAAATGCCATCCTCCAAACTTTGAAAATAGGTGGGGCCAGACAAAACTTCAGACATTTACTACCAGGGGTGTGAGCTAGGCAGTTGCTGATTATAATCCTTTTACAGCATGAATTAATCACAGAGTCAGGCCTGGATTACCAAATGGGGCAAATGCACCTTAATGGACCCCACACTATCAAGGGCAAGGACAGACAGATTTTTATAATGCAGAAACATTTTCAACATCAAATTTCAATCAGAATATTTGCTCATCTTATTAAAGTGACATACAAACTCAGAAGGAAGGACCCAAAAGGTCCCAGAAACATACTGTGCAGGGCCACAATTTATGATATGTGATCCCAAAGGCAATATCTAGTGTAAGATTGTTGTTTTGGGGCCCTCTTATTCCTTTTAAAAAAAACAAATGAAGGTGCCCATCTAAGCAGAATTCAAGCTGTTGGCATCAATTTTTCATTTTTAGTCAAGGCTCCCAGAGCAGCTTAATCCAGGTATACATAAATTATACTTCCACATACTTGTTTGATATTAAATATTTATTGTAAAATACATTTAAATATTGAAACATTTTTATTTTAAGAAGTAATATGATTAGGCATTTCACACAGCATTCAAACATCCATATTCTATGTGCTTCATGAGCATAAATCCATAACAAGTACCAGTCATTCAGAACATATAAAGAGATATTTGGTTGTAATTAGATGGAGACTATGTTGAGAACCCTCCACCTCCTTAGTCCATTACTGTTGCCATTCCCCTTGGCCCTATCTGCCGTATCCCCGTGGGTCGTTGGCCTTTTTCGACTCATCTTTTCCACTTTTGCTGAAGATGAATAAAGTGTTGGCCAGGTTGTGAAGCTGGCATGTCCCAAGCTGGCAACCACGCTGAGGTGCGCGTCGTGAACGTAATTTCACTGCCATGCTGCCAATGATAAAGAGGAGAAAAAACAAGGTTAGAAGTCATACTTTGGCTCTTGAAATATGACATAAACTTTATGAAATAAAAACTTTCAGTTTTCAGTAGAAGTTGAATTTCACCCACAGCATTTACTTCCTACATTAGGAGCCAACTACAGACCACTTCCTAGCATACTCAGTACAATACAATAAATGATACAAGAAGGCTAGTGTTTACAGCCACTCAGGGTATGTTTTGAATTTCTTGCACTTTCGTACTTGTGTTTCAGTGCATCCAGGTCTAGATGTTTGTCTTCTGAATGAAATGGGATGATCTTCAGTACTGGAGCATGCTCCTCCCGTGTGTCCTCTGACCTTTTCACCTCCGAAGCCTGAACAGTGTCCCCTGAGAGGACAGTGTTTGCGCCTGACCTGCGGGTGCAACAGAATGAGGTATTGATTACTGTACATTTTATGAACCAAACAAATCATACAGATGTAAGATACAGATAAACAAATAGGGAAGCCATTATTTCCTCCTGCCTAAAATTCTTTGTGTTTCCTTTCTGTCTTTGGCTGTATATTTACTGATGTTTTTCACTCACCTGTGAGTTGGTCTAAGTGGTGAGGCAACAGTCAAAGGCACAGTCAGCAGCAGCAGAACAGTTATCTCCATACCGCAATGGCCTGTGGGAGAAAAAGAATTAGCGATGCTGAGGAAAACAAATCGTCCTGACCAAACTTATTCCCAATAAATGGTTTTCAGAACTCAGTAATACAGAGACATAAGCGTATTTGACCAGAAAAGTCAATAAACATGTCTATCATGCATTAGAGACCTCTTCAAAGAATAATGAACCTTACCACCAAGAAAATGGAAAAACCTGCTGTGCCTTTTTGAGTAAACCATCAATCCAGATGTGCAGTTGTAGTTTCTTGTTGATCGTTGGATGCCCAAGTCTGTTATCCCTCTCCACCTCTGGCCCTTTATAGTGTGATAGCAGGGTGCGGGGGTGTGTCTGTAACAGTCATTAGACAGCCAGGCCAACTCCCACACTCATAATGAATCAGTTACAGTGGCAGTTTTATCCTTTATTTACACAAGCTGTGATGCTAACGAAAACAACCTTTTAACAACCAAACACTACATTGTACTTATACCTGCAGTGACCTTGTACGTTGTGTGATGTTTACACTGATTATTATGTTCACTCTTTGCCCCACCACCCCCCCCCATCCTCCACCCCTCCACATCCTCCTCCATCTCTCGCTCTCTCACTCCACTTGCTGCTGAGCAATTGTTCCAGAAATCATTCTTTCATTTCCATCACCTGCAGGAAGCCCGCAGAGCCCAAAATAACCCCAATTCTCCTCCAGGCTTTTCTTTATCGCCCCCTTTTTTCCTGTGCCTTTTTCCCTTGAGTCACTTTTGCCGTCAATGTGTTTATTCCTGAAATGTCCTTCACTCACCCCCCCTCCCGTACAGTGTTTGGGAAAACAAGTGCTTGATCTTACCCCTTTCCTCAAAGATAATATTTTTGATTAAATTGGAGCATTTAGGATTGGTCCGTGGTTCTATTAGCTCACCTAAAAATGGTCACAGAAACAAGAAATTATGAACTTTTCAGATTTGGCACCGAGCCACATTCTAACCTCTCTCTAGGAAATTATCTCATAATTCATAATCTTTGATACAAATCCATGAGCAGCCAGTGTCACGTTTTTCCAACATCCAGACGCGTTTTCTCTCAGCCTCTCTCCTTCTCTCTAAATCACAACTTCCCCTCTTGACTCCATTGTGCACCTTTCCTGTGACTACCATCTGTGCAGTTTGTGTTGTCAGAGTAGTGCACTGAGTCATCACTGGCGCACGTTCACACAAGAGCATTAGCAGTCAAATGATAAGGCAGTCTTATGATTTCCCATAATTAAGAACTAATTACACCAAGTCTTGTTTTATGAAGAGTTTCCTCATTGCTAACCAGTTCCTGAACACATGCTGCCTGGTTCTGAGCAGATAATCATTTTTGACAAAAAAACATGAGCAAGGAAACATTTTAAACCCAAGTAAATTTATTCTACATTAGAAAACAAAGTTAATGACGTCAATACGACGTCATTCAATAGTGTCCTGGCACTGAAATTGTTGACAAAGACTGTACATTAATAAACACTTACACTACATTATAGTGTCTTATAAATCATTTATTAGATGTCAACATATTTAAATGCTTAATAGAGAGGGTTAAAGTAAATAAGTACTGGGAACAAGTATTCTCCATAAACTGAACAGTCCATTCTCACTGTACACATATATATATATATATATATATATGTATATATACATATATATATATATATATAAATAGCTGATTCGTTGAGCACACTCAATACCTTAAAAAAAAAATTTGCATCATATAAAATAGTCACACTAGGTGGGGACTCATCTTATGAGAATATATGCATCACACAAATACACACACAGTGGATTGACCCTTGAAGGCCGACAGGGCTCATGACTTTAGGCTGCATACAGTATTTTGTGTCCCAGGTGTTGTGAGAGCAACTTATGATGTTAGCCTGTGTCAGAATGATTAAAGCGGATAGTCATGGTTTGCATACGTCAGTTCGACGGTTGTTTTCTTTAACTGTAAAAGGTCACTGAGGTTCATCAGCCTCTTGTATTCCTGACTTGTTGATATCTTGTATCTCATATGCGTTTACTTCCAGGAGAGCACTTTGTCAGGACTCCTCTGACTTTTCTCCTGCTATTGCTGACGTAGTGTGCATCCTGTTGTTGTAAGCCTGCAGCTACCAGCCAGCCACTTCAGCCTCTCTGCCCTGTTTCCTCCACCCACTGGGCACAAGAGTGAGCATCCTGCCAGGAAAGCCTGTCTTTCACTCACATATCATCTTCTCACAGTTTTCATCTTAGAGGTCACTCAAGACACTTCGCTACAAGAATGTAAACGTCTTTTTCAGCTAACCTACTTTCAAGTATCATACACTGACTGTAACTATTGAAAGTGGGTTTGCTAAACTTAAAACAAGAACGGCTTATTTACTGGAATGAAAGCAGAATATTTTATTCCAATATGTTTGCTGTCACCCAGTGGCACATACTGATTTCTGCTGCAGTTGCTCTGGTGTAGATTAGTGTCTTCTGTGGCTTATGGCTAGAGTACAATGTTAAAGTTTACTATGAACAGAAACATTTGATAATACACAGTTACACATACTGTATTATAGAAGATAAATAACCTCTTCCAAGTGAATTGACCATAAAAAATACCTCCATCTTGTGGGAGGAGACACAGACATTGTTATGATGATTGCACAAAATGCAGTTCACTGTGCATTCTCATTTATGAATGATTTTGCCAAATGAATATGCTGATGTTTTAAGATGTAAACTATCAGTTGAAAAATACTGATGTTGCCACAATGTTTTTCAAGTCCGGCTTAGCCATCAGTAGCTCCAGTGTGGTTATGCAACAGCTAGAGAACCGTGATATGAGCAAAATCTTAATGGTTTTTTTCTTGTCTCCTGAGCAATTAACAGATTTGAGCAAAAATAGTGTGTTAAAACTGGACAGAAAGAGAGAGAGAGAGAGAGAGAGAGATAGCTGTGCAGCACAAGTCTGGAAAACCTATGAAAGGTCGGAGGGTCAACACTGAGAGATATAAGCTTAGAGTCCATTAGTGGATTATAACCATAACCACTCCATGGCTACTGCATCTCTCGTGGATTAAAGAGAGAGAGAGAGAGAGAGAGTTAGACTGAGTGAATGAGTGTGACTGGAAAGCAAGTGAACTGAGCAAATTCAAAGGCAGAACACAGCAGCCTGCGCATAGGTGGACTGAGAAACACGGGGAAACAAGCTGCAGTAAAGTTGGAGCGGTGACAGCGCTTTGGGCTGGCAGAGTCTACGGTACATCACCTGGCTGATAGTGAATTGTCCAAGGTAGGTTTAGATAGATGTTGTGAAAGTGAACTCTTGTTATCTCTGTGTATCTCCATTTAGTTATGTA